AGTCAGGTAAAGACTATTACTAATGCATCAAAATCTTCCTTTACAACCACTTGAAATCTGTGTATTTTGGTTTTAACTTTTGGAACCTTCAAATAATACAGTACTACATTATCATTGTCCCCATTCTTCAGACCTCTATTATTTGTATCCATCTAGGTGCTTTGGAATTGCAAGAATTGAGATACGCTCCTTGACTAGAATTTGAGTTCTGCCTTTAGCAGTTATCCCCGTTATATTAGTAAATGGTCCATTGAGTGAAGTTTTAACCTGCATACTACCTTCTAACCGTATTCAATGTACGAGAAATTTATTCTTTCTTCTTCTTTCGAAAGCATAATCATTGCATCTTGTCAAAACAATTTCAGAGATGATAGTCAGATATTTCAAATATCATGATCTGCATAAGAGCCTGTAGCAACTTATAGTATTTATTTGAGCTTTTAGTATTTCCTTTTGTTTTTGTCGTCTGAAATGCATTATGAAAATTATATGATGTTTTATTGTTGCTTGATTATGGAAAGTTAATTGACACTCTCGCCCCAAAATTTTTCCTGTTATCCATTTTCAGGTTACAGAACAAATTATGGATGAAAAGCTTGGGCGGATGGTGACTCGTGTGGTGCTTCCACATGTTGTCATGCATTCAAGATATCATTATGCGGTAAATGTCAGCCCTCTTTATTATGCATGGATTTGCTGTGCTGCTCAAGAAAACTATATATTTTCTAAGAAAATTATTTTAAGACAAATGGTTGAATGTTTTTCTGGCAGGCATTCTCTGAGAATTTCACTGGTTTAGAGCTTGAAGATGGTGGAGGACGCGGCACATCAGGTACTGTACTTTAAAAGTTTGTATGCTATGTTGTAGAGGTTATATCACCAATATACTGTACTTGGTTAAATAATATTGATACTCGATTATATGACATGAGGAACAATATTTAGAAGTATAATATTCAGGGGAGTTTAAAATACCAAGAAGAAAGATAATTCTTACAGTTGATAGATAGAACTGTAGCGGATTTTTTTCCTGACTGATAACAACAAAGTTGTGATAGCATTTTGATGCTTAATAATAATCATTGTACATCTATAAACTTTTAGGGTCACACTGGGAGAAAAGACTTCTAATGAATGAAATTATGACGGGGTCAGTGGATACAAGATCTGTGGTTTCAAAAATGACACTCGCTTTACTAGAAGATAGTGGATGGTACCAGGCCAATTATAGTATGGCAGAGAATCTTGATTGGGGCCGCAACCAAGGAACTGAATTTGTGACTTCCCCTTGCAATCTCTGGAAGGGGGCATATCATTGCAACACAACCCAATTGTCAGGATGTACATACAACAGAGAAGCTGAAGGTTACTGTCCGATCGTAAGTTACAGTGGAGACCTACCCCAGTGGGCCCGCTATTTTCCACAGGCTAACAAAGGTGTGGTTTTTGCATTTATAATTTACATTATTACCTTTGAACTGGTTTGTATAAGCATTCCATCATTTGTGCTATATTATAATATATGTAAAGTTGTAAACCATAATACTTGGTTTGGAGCTTGATGTGAATTCTGTTGTCTTATGACGTTTCCAGGTGGTCAGTCCCCACTGGCTGATTATTGCACCTATTTCGTTGCTTACTCTGATGGGTCATGTACTGACTCTAACAGCGCACGGCCACCTGACAAAATGTTGGGTGAAGTACGAGGAAGTAACTCTAGGTGAGATTTTAAAGTCAATTACACCTTATTAAAATAGGAAATTGCTTTCCTATGGATGCTGGATGCAGTTGAAAATAGCAAGATGTTAATGACTATTCATCTTGTTACTTGTAGGTGTATGGCTTCATCATTGGTACGTACAGGGTTTGTACGGGGTTCGATGACCCAAGGAAATGGATGTTATCAGCACAGATGTGTTAATAATTCATTAGAGGTTTGTTATTCCAATGATTCTTTTTCATCTGCTCTAGTTTATCAGTTGCGCATGGGGTATCATGGTAGCTTTATCAACCATAAAGTAGACCAGCATCTTCTTTATATTTGAACCTGCTTCATGTTTTTCCCCTTGCAAATTTTAGGTTGCTGTGGATGGTGTGTGGAAAGTATGTCCTGAAGCTGGTGGAGCCCTTCAGTTCCCAGGATTTAATGGTAATGATGCTATTCTATCTATCATTTTTCCTTCTCAGTCTTGTTGGGGGCGTTAGCATGATTAAAACTTGAAAATGTTCCTCTTTCAGGTGAATTGTTATGCCCGGCATACCATGAACTCTGCAGTAAAGGCCTAGTTCCTGCAAATGGACAATGTCCAAAGTCGTGCAATTTCAATGGAGACTGTGTTGAAGGAAGGTGCCACTGTTTTCTAGGGTTTCATGGTTCTGATTGTAGTAAACGTGAGCTCCTAATTCCTTTTTTCACCCTTTATAATCAGCATGCAAGATGTGGTTACACCAAGTTATGATGCACCATTTACGTAAAACCACTTCTGAAATTATGACTACTGCAGGCACCTGCCCAAGCAACTGTAATGGACGTGGAAGCTGCCTTTCTAACGGGCTGTGTGAATGTGATAAAGGGTACACAGGCGTTGACTGCTCCACTGGTATGCGCACCATTTTTTTTTTCCCCTTCCAGTTTGTCTATATGGCAAATGTAGCCAACTCGAGAATGACCACCCATATTTCAGACACTTGACTGATGCTGCGTGAAGGGTTTTAGGACCACCGTCTAAATTCTTTGCACCGTGTCAAAGAGTCCTTTTCATCCTCTGCGTTCACGATGACTGCTAATATTCTGGCAGTTAGCTGTTTTCTGATAAGTTTGCTCTTGTATTGGCAGCGGTTTGTGATGAGCAATGCAGCCTTCACGGAGGTGTTTGTGATGATGGAGTCTGTGAATTCCGCTGCTCTGACTATGCAGGCTACTCATGCCAGAACAGCACCATGCTCCAATCCAGTCTTAAAGTTTGTAAAGATGTCCTGGAAAATGTCAACTCTGGTGCCGGACAGCACTGTGCACCCAGTGAACCAAGCATATTGCAGCAGCTCGAGGATGTGGTGGTCATGCCCAACTACCATCGTTTGTTTCCTGGTGGTGCCCGGAAGCTTTTTAGCATCTTCGGAACCAGCTACTGTGACACAACCGCGAAGCAGCTGGCTTGCTGGGTAAGTCGCCTCCCACTTACAACCCGTCATTCCATTTTCCATTTTCTCCATCACCTTCTCTCGCCTTTATCATTTCTCTCAAATACTAAGAATCCGACTATGCACATGCAGATATCGATTCAAAAGTGCGACAAGGACGGGGACAACAGACTCCGTGTCTGCTATTCGGCCTGTCAATCATACAATTCGGCATGTGGGGCTTCGCTCGATTGCTCGGACCAAACCCTATTCAGTAGTAAAGACGAAGCACAAGGGCAATGCACAGGCTCAAGTGAGATGAGAACGTCATGGATTAGCAGCATACAGGGTTGGTTTTCAAGTAACAGTTCCTCAAAAGGGACGTCTGTAAAAAATTAGGCAGTTCTTGTTATTTTTTGTTTTTCGTAATTTTTTGTTTTAGGGTTTTAATTTTAGGAAAAGGTGGTGGCATTTCAATGCTGGGCCTTTTAGATGTTAGGGTTCCATTCAGCAAGGCCCAATAAATCATTAAAAAAATGTTGGGCCGGGAGGTGAGCTGTTGCTTTCAAAGATGAAAGCCTGCTTGTAGAGAAATTTAGTAATGCATGAAATGCAAGGGGGATTCCGAAAGAAAAAAGGGGAAAAAAAAGTTTAGGGAAGCTTGTGGAGTTGTTTGTGCAGTGGTTTGGCCGAAGGCCTTGAAATTTGAAAGGAAAGGAAAAAAAAATAGCCCTTGTATTTGTTTAGCGTTTTTATTTTACGTCTTTTATTAATTTTGAACTTGTTTGGAAGTGTTTTCAAGATATGGTTTTGGTGAATTGATTTTGGAACTAATTCTTGGTAAGAATGCACGGAAGTCTTGGAAAATTACTTAAAATTCATTCTAGAAGTAGGACTCGTTTGGATGTGTTTTAAAAAGGTGAAAGTGTTTTTAGAGAATGTTTTTGGGTTTCAGAAGCATTTGAAGTGCTTTTTGCAAGAAGTACCTTTTAGGAAGCACCTTAAGTGTTTTTTTAAAATTTATTTGTATTTTTACTAAGTATTAGTTCTAAAAACATTTTTCACAAAAAGTGATTTCAGTTATTTTAAAAGCATATTCAAACGAGCTCATATATAATTGGTGTTTTTTGTAGAAAGTACTTTAAATACTTTTGAACCTAAAATATTTTCTCTAAAATCGTTTTTAGTTGAATTGACTTCCAAATGAGCCCTTTGAAACAAAACTATGTTGTTGACTGTCCAGAATCAACAGTAGTTTGAAGATCTGAACCGTTGATTTTACAAATAAAACGATTACCCCAAGAGATGGAGGGTATAGGTGTAACTAGCATGGTTGATCCGGATAGATTAAGAGTCACATGGTATATGCAAATGCAAGAACATCAGTTATATTGGTTCATTGGTGGTGCAGAAGAAATGTTTCAGTAACACGCATCGGTACACCGAGCGTCATAATACAAATGGTAGAAAATTTTCTTTTTAAAGTATCCAACAACTTTTATTATGACATTTGGTATACCAGGTTATATTTTTGGCATACAAAAAAAATCTTTCCTCGTTGGAGGCGCCAAGAGTCTTCCAAATTAAGTAGTATTGCACTCCCATGCATGCACAGCGCTAGGAACCAACACACGCAAAGAAGCTCACTTAAATATATTCATGTATGTATCTATATCTCTTCTTCCTCCTCTGTTTCTTGAGATTTGAGCTGTAAGATTCAGAGCCTGCTAATCTCATATTAACCTAATTTACCGCCCATCTAATCAAAACATTTTAAACTAATCACACCAAGAAGAACCGGCAAAGCAAACGTACAGATTAGACTTTTCTAGAATAAAACCATATCATATTAATGAAGACGGGATTAAACTAATCACCCCTCGTTCGTGAAATCGAGGATTCGAAAAAATAACATAATATAAAAGTACTCTATAATTTGATTAAACCATAATCAATTTGCTACGCAACACTAATCAATTAATATTCTAAACCCCATAAGCATAAGGGTCCTTCACTCCCTTATCTAAAATTTAATTTATACCAATATACTTAATAATTAATTGATCATTAGTTTATGATGACCCGCTTGGGCAAAATGTGATCAAGTAGTCCGACCCGGAACAGGTACAAGTGCTCGAAGCGTCGTCATAGGCGTAGCTGTACGCTGTGGGGCACGCCGTCTTGAACATCTCCGAGTACTGCGTCGGCGAGCAAGTCTGCGGCGTCGCGTGCTCCCCGGTGCAGCAAAACTCTGGCGTATTAAACGCTGCGCACGCGCTCCTGCAAGCCACCACCGCCCCCGAACCCGCATCCATCACCCGCAGCTCCGCCGGGCAGCGGCCGTTCAAGTCCGCCACGCATCCCGCGTACTGGCAGTCGCCGGTTCCGCCGGTGGCCCACAACCCCATGCCCACATTGTAACCGTCCACCAGGCTGATGTCATAAAAGTCCTTGTCCCCCGGGTTGGACCCGATCGTGAACTCCGCCAACGTCACGGGAGGCGCGCCACCGCCGGCACATTTTAGCGACCCGCAGTCGCCAGTGACGCATTTTCCGTTTCCCAAGTCGTCGAAGGTGCAGCCAGTTCGTGCCCAGAACCGGCCGGACCAGCCGGGAGGGGCGGTGAACTGGACCGATGTACCCGGAGCCAATGCGAAACCGCCCTCTCCGAGAATTGCAGCGCCGTTTCCGGAGAGAGTTCCCGGCCAGACCGTGTAACTGCAACGGTTTTGGAGTGTGAATTGGGTCGCGCGGACTACATTGCCTGCAGCTGCATCAAGAAGCAGAGGAATATTACCCAGAAACAGAAACGAGTTTAGATTACGTTAATTACTGTATTAATTAGTGTAGTTAATCATGTTTAATTAGTTTAAAGAGGGATTTAGGTACGTACCTAACGAGAAGAGAGAAAGAAGAAGATAGAGCTTAATCGCCATAACCGAAAACGAAGAAATAGTCGAGGACAGTTGTGGAAGTACGATTTAATCCGATTTGGCGGTTCCAAGCTTCGGCTTGGTGATTGGTATTTATATTTGCGCCCAGGGTTAATTTGGTATTTTAAATTCTTCCTCTCTTTCCGTGACGTGGTATAAGATAGTGGGGGCCTGTTCCTAAGCGCCGGAAGCACTACCTTTTACTAGGTAATGAACGGAAAAGGATCCCGTCGGATCCTTTTTCTGGGTTCTTGGAAATGCCGTAATCTTGGCAGTTCATCGTATATTGTGCGATCAGTTTTTGTTAGGTACTATTTATATTTAATTTTAAATTTTAAATGATTTCTAATTGCACATTATACAATAAACGATCAAGATCATGATCATAGAATCCCCGAATCCTCAGAAAAAGGATCCGATGAAGCAAAGGTTTGGCTTGCCACGTCATCAAAGTAAAGGCCGGCAATCTTTCTCTGTCACCACTTTTTCTATTTTAGGAAGGTAGTTTGTTGGATTTGGTTGATCGCCAGGGTGGATTGTTTGGCAGTCGAGTGTGCAGCTTTACCTTATGTTTAACCTTTAACTTTGCTTTGTTTTTCAATGATAAAATCTGATGTATCATCGTGTCATCCATTTTAGTGTTATGGAAAAAATTGCAAGAATTCTAGTATGTTTCGATGTATAGACTACTCTCCATATTTATTATTCACGATGTAAAATCTGATGTGTCATCGTGTCATCCATTTTCACGATGTGAAGTTTAATGAGCCCCACATCGTGAAAAGAGAAACTTTGTAAAGGCTTATAAGTAAGTTGGACTACTCTCCATATTGCCAGTTAATTTTATGGTGGAACCTCAATTTTCTTTATGTTATCAAAACATGTGGCTAACATGTGAAGCCGAACAGCCACATGTGTTCTACGCCACCTAATTTTTATTGTCGAAGTATTTGGCTTGAAAATTTGTCACGCGTGAGGGGTCGTGTGAGGTGGTGAAGTTTAATGAGTCTTACCAAATATATAACAAAAAAATGAATGGTTTGGGCCTTCAATCGTTTTCCATTCGGAAAAATGACAAATGCCATTATTCTTTGACAAGATGATTTATATTTAAACTATTCTAACATACGAGAAGTGTGATTCAAACATGAGTGTATGGCACAAACTTATTGTTCTAATCAACTGATCTAATTCTTGTATGCGTAAAAAAAAAAAAAAAAGAAAGAGGCAGGAAGGACTAAAACGGTTGGCCAGTTAAACAAGTTTCATACATCGCTAAGTTATAAGCAACAAGAAGATTGGAAAACGATGTTTGGCTATGAAGATAAAAAAAGGGCCGGACCGTCCTTTTAAGAAAAGCTATAACCAAGCAGACCGCAAATGCATGCCAGCAGAGCCATGCAAAACGCGTTTTCGTTTAATCGTTGGCACTGTCTGGGTCTGATTGTTTCCTTTTTATTGGCGTGATACGTATTGTGAGGCTTATTTGTAGTATAAAAGTCGAAATCCACCAGAAAGTTGGGCAAGACAAAGAAACCTGCTCACATACAAGGGTTGACAAAGTTCATACCCTTTGCTTCACTCAATTAATCTGTCTACAACTACCAGGACATCAAAATGTCGATCAGTACTCTAAACGAACAAGATGTCAAGTGTGTAAGTTAAAACAAATGGCCGCGATGCAAATTTCTCTCATTTGTTTTAAGCATAAAGTTGAGAATAATCCACAAACTTTCTTTTTTGATCTGATGAAAATACTTCTTCACAAAACGCTTATGTTCATAAATCCTTTCATTAGCACATCACAAATTTTAAAAAGATCCAGGTTACTTTTAGAATCTATATAAACTTTTTTAACTTTTTTCATCAAATAGTGTCAGAAGCGCTCATCTCACAATCACTTCTACTTGTTCTAATAAAAGCACTTTCAAACGTGATGTTGTTCTTTCTATTTACAATGTACTAAGCAAGTTTTCAAGTTGATTCAAGATAGAAAATGAAAATTATAAGATTAATTTTCAACAGATATACCACTTTTGAACCTAATTACAGGAAGATAAGATCCAAGGCTCAACATGTTATAAAATCACTGCAAATCTGTAAAAACATTGACAGTGTATATATGTGGTTTCATAGACTGAAGAATCCCCGTGCCATACCACATGGAAAACTGTCATGCTACCAGGCAAATTTGCAGCTCTCTTTAAATTAAATGCTGCAGTGACTAGAAAAATGAAGTTTGCATCTATTGCTTGTCTCAAGACAATGACTGGTTAGTTTGGACATAAACATTCCAAAAATATACATAAACATTCCAAAAACACTTTAAAAATTGGTATTTGGACATTTTATTTCTCCTTTAATTGCTATTCAATTCTTGGTCTATTGCAAACACATGTTGCTTGAACAAAGTCTAAAATTGGCATCGGTTGAAAATTAAAATAAGTAGCTGTGGCAAGGTACCCACATGACAAACCGATGTATATTTTAAACCAGACGGATGAAAAAATGGCTAGGTAAATCAACATGATAGTCAAAAAAATTACCAACATGAAATTTACCAAGCACTTGAATGTAGAAAGTTCTTCTTCTCCTCCTTCATTAGGGAAATGCCCTTGCTCGCTGAAATTGGAAAGTAAGTTGTCCTTGAGCAGGAATGCTTCCGTTAACCAAGAGGCTGCATCGGCGTTAGAAGCAGGGATCTCTTCAATCGGGATTCGCCGAACATGTATGTGAACTTCTGATGGATCCACGCCAAACGCATTGTCTAGAAACGAAGGGCATTGATTCTTGTAGGTGATAGTCAAGTCATAAACTGCAGCACAATTTAGATGATCATCAGAGAACATATAAGTATAACATGCGCGCACACAAGCTTCAAAATGTTTCGATAAGAAATTGTGGGGAAAATCACAGAGTGGAGTTTTGTGTAAATAACCTGCATCCAAAGAACTTCTTAGAGCTTCCAAGCAAGCACAAAAGCCTTTAGTTCTTGGAAGTAGCACATGTGACAGTACAGGAAGTCCATTTTCAGCAGCAAATATCTGACTCTTTTTGCATTTTTCTTCACTGCATAGAGACAAAAAGAAGAACTATATATCTTCGTATATTCATATATTACTGAATAAACACAAACCCTAGCATGCAATATAGAAATTAAATTGCAAGTTGAAAATATGAGATATGCCAATGTGGGAGTAACCATTATATTAAAAAATGTGAGAAATGGGGCCCAAGACTTATGTATTGTATAGAAGTGCATCAAATTAAGGCAATATTGTAACCATAAATTCTATGTGCAAGACGTCTGTTTCTTATCGAACTAATTCTATAACGTAATTGAGATTACTTTGAATCTTCTATCCTTGATCAAATATGGAAATACATGTAGGTGGAGGTCAACAGTCTTGTATATAATAACTTCAACATAATAATCTGAAAATATACATGCAAATGGATTTTTAAAAAAATAGAGGGGTAAAGGGTAGTACTTATAATCAGTTCCTTCAGGAAAAATGGCAAGCCAGAGAGGGTCTGCAGGATCAGCAAATGACGAAAGCATTTTCCGCATAACCGGTTCATCAGCTTCCCACTTCCTTTTCAAAGGAATGAACTCTAAAATGTGAAATCCCCACCCGAATACCGGCAGCTTCATCAGGCTGCTCTTTAGCACATACTTGATGTGTCCAAGAGACCCTTTTCGCAATGCAAGATCCCACAAGTACATCCAATCAACCTCGGTTTTATGGTTGGCAATGAGGAGAGTCCGTTCTTTAGGGGGCACGGTGTCTCCAGAAAAAACCACTTTCGTGCCATTGATCTTCTCAAACAGGAAAGGCCACAAGGCCAGCCAAATGCCAAAGAATAAGGAGGTTGCTGTTCTGCTTATATGTATGCTCAAAGGGCGCAATAATAGAGCAGTTATGGGAGCAAAACACACAAGAATTGTGAACGCAGTCGAGAGAAATACTACTAAACATAAGATACCCCTCACAACCCTAAGAGGAGACAAAGGCCTGTGCTTTAGTTTACTATCTGGTTTCAAGGGACTGCAAACGTCCATCTCGTTCCAGGAAAAACCTCCCTCAATGCAGCTGCAATGTTATAAATGGGGTTTTAAAATCTATGCTTAAAATGTCCCTAAATCAAATATAAATGTAACAAAGAAAATAACACTGAATCATGAAAAAAAGAAAGGAGTTGTTATTGGCGGCAAAAGAGTTATCATACACTCGACCAGAAGAGTTTTTGCGTTACGACGGATGCATGGTGACTTTCTTGGCGTGTGAATAACAGTTCCGAACAAAAAGAAGGGAAAGAAGACCTCCAAGCCCTAATTTATCTCTATGATGACTTCCTCGGGGTGCGATGCGATGATTCAATTTTCACAGCAATGCTTTCACACATGAATGCCATTTGCTCCGATAACAAAATTGATACCTCATGCCAATGTTGAGATTTTAATTTTCAATCAAACAGTATCCAAAATCGTTTAGATATAACAAATTATCAAACTTTTCAATTACTTTGCCAAATCCCTTTTTTTTGGCAATTGAAAGGTAATCACGAACAAATAAAGGTAGAAATTCCATCTCAATTACACACAAAATAATGGGGAAAACAATGTGTTTGTGTAAAGAAGTTTATTATTCAGAAAAAAAAAAATAAAAAAATAAAAAAAAAAATAAAAACTGAGATACCTCATGCCAAAGTTGAGTTAGAGAGAAGTTTTTTGCTCCGACAACGAAGAGTACGTTTGTGGTGTTAAAGAAATTAATCTAGAAAAAGACAAGCGCGTTTTGTAAAAATGGCCAAAAATAAAAGGCCATTTATGTATAAATACCCCATAAATACAAGGGCCAAAAATAATATAAATGATGAAATTAAGTGCGAATATGGAAGTATTTATTTTTTTAGAAAGTAGAGAACGGGTCAAAAAGATAATTTAAAGCTGTTAGATTTGTTGGGTAAATTTGATTGGTGTAAAATACAATACATGGGATGATAAATTCGATAATTTGATGGGAAAAAAAAAAACAAATCTACTAGCTTCCTCCTTGATAAATCTCAAAAAATAAGGAATAATATTAAGGGAAAAAAAAAGAGAAAGCAATCTTAATTTTCACTACTACGAGAATCATTAGTGCTGTTTGGTGATGGAGTCCGACGCAAGTTGAGCAGCAGACTGATGGCTGTTCCTCAACGAATGCATCCAAATCTTCATTTACGCTCATTTACTGTGAGAGTGGTTGAAACTTAACTGAAAGGCACGTATATAGTCCTGATTAACTGACTTGACCAGATTAAAACAAAACATTTTCTAGTTATGAAAACCAAAACGAAGAATTGACGACGTACAAACAAACAAAAGATTAACTAGCTACAAATTGAGATCTAATCCGACCAAAAAAGTCATTAATCACAAAAAATCTCACGGTTAGAAAGAGACAGCTCAAAGTCATGGAGACTCAAATGCGTATAAATTAAACATGTGGATGAACAGAACTTTAGGGTAAATATGAACACACTTACTTGTTCTTTGTGGCTCGATAATACTTGTCGTGGTGAAAACGTAAAAGATGAAACTCTTTGTGACAAAGTCATGTGTTGCTAAACATTGGATTCTTCCAAATACAGCTTGCTGGGAAAGGAAATGCAATAGTGAAAATCAAGAAGAAAATCCAGCTGTTAAAGATCAAGCCATGACGGATGTTGATGAAGGTTGATAGAGGTAACCAAGGTATGCCGAGGAGCTGATTAAGGGATGATTGACTTGGATTTGGATGACGGAGATCCAAAAAGAGAAAAAATGAGATGTCATTTGTGCAAAACTCCTCGGCCGGAAAACTTTTGGCGTATTAAATCCAGTTTAATGCAACAAGTAATATGTCTTTATCCAAAAACCAAATGCAACAATCAAGTTAGAAAATGGTTGCTATATAACAAAGGAATTTGACTCTAAGCCTATCTATAAATTGGGTTTTCATTTCATTTAGGCTTAATGTTTCTGGATTTGGGCTCTACTATATATCTAGTTGTGTTGGGCCTTTAAGCTGAAATTGACACCAAATTTGCTAACCTTAAGCGTCTCTCATGATTATGCTTTTAATTTTCGAACATCAAATCAAAATTATGTGATTTTGAAATACATGTAAGTACTAAACAATTAAATAAATAAAAGTAAACCCATGTACGGGTAACACAAGCACAAATGTATAGTCACCACTAATACTGATCTGACATAATAAACAATAGACACAACATAGTTACATTGGTAACCACATCGGTCATTGTTGAAAAGCGATGCCACATAAAGTCATTGCAATAGAGCAAGGCCACATCAAATCATTGTTGATAGACGAGACCACATAACTCACCGCTCAAACGTGTAGACCAATCTAGCCATCGCAATAGCGCGACCAAAACACTCGCAAGGCAAGGCAAAAACAACTACTCCTAGAATGAAACCACAGGTCAGCTCATCTCAGTGGAGGACAAGGACCCTCATGCTAAGGTCAGCTGCAACTTCACTGCTCTAGTGAGATTTCGGCTTCCACATGTCAAGCACCCCTAAATTTGGTTGCATAAGGCAACAGAACTGCTAAATCCAATGGCAACTTGCAAGCAATGGAGTAGCTAAATTTAATTCACAATGTCGCAGAACCGCAGGACCTGAGCACACTAGTCCTCGCAACGACGAATTCAGTCTTGGAGAGTGTCACTAGCATGGAAAACTAGCTGACAGCAGTGGTTCCAACCCACCTGCAGCCACAAATCCAACCCTAGACCATGAAATCGAGAGCCAACTAAAAGAAGAAACCTTGAGAGGGCATGACCCAAATCTAGGTATAAGACTGAAATCCATGGAAAAGCTGTGCACAAAATGGTGGGAGAGAAACACAGGAGGGGGAGAAGAGGTATGTGCAGACCAAGAAAGGGTGGGCGGCGCAAGGTCAGAGGGTGCGGACGTGAAGGGAATGAAGAGAAGGCAAGGGTAGGGGAGAGGGAGGAGAATCATAGGGATCAAAGGCTATGAGGAGAAAGGGCGGAGTTGCCACTTGTCCCATGGCTTAGCCAGAGGCCGACGACTATAGAGGTAGCATGTTAATTTTATTTATTTATTTTTTAACAAATTATAGTATCAATGGGTTAAATTATTAGTTATTAAAGGGATAAAAATCAGTGGAAATTGAACCCTACCAGAATGTATATGCATGTGCGTCATTACCTTTTACCACTTCAGTAAACCACCATTTGCCAGAGTTTACTACAGAAAATTTTGTATTAAAATAGCTCGCATATCCTTTCGCATAATTGGCCTTCGTTATCACCCAACGAAAAAAATGGGTCTTCTCTAGCGATTGCATCATTTTCTAATAGAAGGATGTCACATCCTAATGTCCTATTAGTATACCCATTAATTTTTTGTCAACCAATGAAAATCATGTTTACGCATGCAATGACAAAAAGAAATTGCTAAGCAATTATACAATAGTCATACAAAAAGAAGATGAAATTCCAGAAATCCAATCACTGAGAGCAATTGGTCAATCTGAAACTTAGAAAATGATAATTGGTCTTCCATAATGATCAAAGTATTCTGTTCATGCTGCATTTGGTTGACCGTTTCAAGTGGAACCTTCACCAACCAAAACAACGTTAAGCACATAAAATCTCAACTTATTTTTAGCTACGTTCCTTAAAATTGTATTTTCATCTCACTTTACTTCCTTTAACTTAAAATTGTATTTTCATCTCATTTTACTTCCTTTAATTTAAAAGTCATCACTTTACTTATTAAAACTCAATATTTATTTCACTTTGACTTGTGAACTCTCTTTTCTCTCTGAAACTTATAGGTCGTCTCCTAAAACATATGTGAGACACAAAACCCAATAAGACTATGCCACAGTGCAATAAATTTGATTATAAATCTCCGTTATGCGTGACCATTTAACAATCAGAAAATATTAAGTTTAAAAGAAATGGAAGAGATGAAAAAAATAAAAAAGAAATTGATTAGCCTGGCTCATGAAATTAATAGATCTAAGGTAGTGTGGAACGAATTTTGAGTTTTATAAAGGGAATTGTTATTGGCACTCCAAAATTCTCATTCTACACTCCAAATTTTCTATATTTAGAAAGAAAAATACATTTGTAAGGTGTGTAAAATGAGATTTTTTCAGGTAGTAAAGTGGTAACTTTTGAGTTACAGAGAGTAAAGTGAAATTAAAATCGAGTTCCAAGAGATGTAGCTAAAAATAAGTTTAAAACCTCTTATGGTTCAATTAATTTGGGTAGAGAAAAGAAGAAAAGTACATAAAACCCCAAAATAATAGGGTCAATTTTAAGTACTTACACAATCTTTTGAGACTCTACAACCCTCTTCATCAATCATATGTCGATTTTATACTTGTATATACAATTTTCGTTAACTTTAGTCTAATTGGAGTAATGGTCTTTCAACTAAAAATTTGTGGTCATTGGTCCCTTAGCTTATCAAAATGTGCAGCTATGGTTATGTTTGTCAATTTTGTTAGAACTTCTGTCAAAATGAGTCACCTACCATGCACGTGAGACTAAATCAAGGGGCGATATGGGAAACCACATGAGAAAATTGTAGCAATAGTCCCTAAACTTTAGTCTTTAACACAATTGTAGCAATGATTTTTTTAACATATGTCATTTTGACGGAATTCTGATGGAGTTAATGAAATGACCATAACTGCACATTTTGATGAGTTAAGAGACTAATTGTCATAATTTTTAGTTAAGGGACCGTTCTTTCAATTGAGTTAAAGTTAAAAGATCATTTCTACTATTTTCTCATTTACAAAATCCCGCAAAAGGGTTTGTTCTCTCCAAATAAAAATTCACATTTCAATTTATTAAGGAAAATATATATCATATTCACAATATTGCTTATTTCCATCTACCATTAAAGATGGACTCTTAAGTCAACAAGGCTTTCGCTTCGAGATGAACGCCTATAACCTACTAAAACAAAAAAAAAAAATTACAAAAAAGAAAACCTTATACTTTGTTGGGAAAGCCGAATCACGCCACTCGTAAGGCATTTTGCTTGTCCAAAAGGTTTCGAGAACTAACGTAATCAGATAATTCTATCGAAATTTTTATACTACTAAGATTACCATTGACAATACTTTTCTAGTTTTCTTTAACGAGCAGCTCACGCTTTGACTCCGACCCAGATCCCAAATGCGTGGCCGGATTCACAACCTCATCAACCGCCGTTGAATTCTTCAAATACTTTTCCACGTAGAATTTCAAGAACAGCAACAGAATCGCGCCGTTGAGGACGGAGTTGCAGAGCCAAGCTCCGATCCCGTTGCACCCGCCCCCTTTCAAAATGTGCAGGGAAAGCACGCCGACGTGGCAGACCAAGTTGTAGACTAGCAGCACCACCTGGCAGTTCACCACGAACGGGAAGCACGCCCCGGGGAGCCCGATTCCGGTCCAGAACCGGTAGGCGTAGACGATGGAGTAGAGCAGAGTGGTGGAGAGTATGGCGAGGACCTGGAACGATTGCGAGTATTGGAGCCAGAGGAACGACATGAAGATGAGGATAGACTGGTTGAAGAGGTGGAAGAAGGTGAGGCGGCGGTGGAGGAGGATGGTGAAGAATGTGCGGAGGAGGTGGAGGAACCGGGAGAGGTAGAAGACGTAGGACCAGAAGAAGACGCGGCCGGAAGGGCGGGTGCCGGGTGGGAAGCAGAGGAGCCACTGGAAGGGAGTGGTCTTGGTGCGCCGCCACAACCAGCGGGTATCGCGAATCTCGGCGACAGAGGAGACGAGGATGCCGGTGAAGATGACGGCGTAGATGAGTGCCATGACAAGGCTGTGGACTGCCGGGATTGGGCCGAGGGAGACAGGGCGATCATGGCGGCGGAAGAGGGTGAGTATGAGGTGGAGGGCGCTGGCGGCGGCGATGTAGGCGGGGATGGCGGTGAAGAGGAAGTACCAAGTGGAACCCCATAAGTGGGTGGTGTTCCACCGGAAGTTTACGATGTTTGGGTGCTCCGATAGCAGGTACTTGATGGTTTGCGACATTAGTTGCTTCTCATATGTTCGACGAAATGCTTCAGCGAAAAAGGAGATTGGCGCGGTGAAAAATAATAGAAGATTGGCGGAGATCGGTGGGAATATAAAGGGACCCTATAGAATTATGAGACTGCGGAAGTTTCTTTCCTTGTGAAAGTCTGTTTTATTGGTTATAATTTTGTCGTGGATTGACTACTATTCCAGCAGTCAACAATTTATTTATAAAAAATAGTAACGTTATCATTTTTGTACTATTTGACTTATCCGAATTACGTTTTTCACTCATGACACGTATAAATAAATTAAAAGAAATAAAATACCTAAAAAAAAAAAAAAGAAAAAAAAAAAAAAGGAAAAACCCTAAAACAATAAAACTTAGCAAACGTGAAATTAACTCTACATTTCTTCCAACCCTAAAACAATAATGGCTTGTTTACTAATTCGTAATCAGATTGATGAGAATTGAATTTAGGAAGAATTAGATTGAGAATGAAACATAATTAAATTTCTGTTAAACTTGGTTACTAAACTATTTGGACTGGTGGGAAAATAATATTGGTTCCATGTAAGTTGTTTATTAATTCAATTAAATCAGAGTTAAAACTAGTTTAATTACTAAACTACTCTTGTTATAATAAAGTTTATCTATAAGAAAGTTTTATGTTATTTCCATAGCCACTGTTTCCACATGGATGGGTGTGTGGGTGATTTGGGTTGTTTGGGTGTTGTTCCTAGAGGTGCAAGTCTGGATTTTGATCTATCTGATGGGGTTGCAGAAGAGTAGAGGTGGTGCTGTCGGGGATTGTGAAAATGGGATTTTGGGGTGCATTACTGGTGCCGTTGATGGCAAGGTGAGATTTGGCGGAAGGTGGAAGGGTGTTACTCGGTTTTCGAAAAAGGGTAATGTTAGGAAGACCAACATTTTAAACTAAAATTGCAAACTAAATGATATGTCGCCAATATGAAACAAGAATGTTAATCAACGATTAAGTAATAATCCAATCATCAACAACCACATCATTTGGTTTAAAAAATTAGGTATCTCTAACATTATCCTTTCGAAGAATGTTCAAGGGTAATTTGGATAGAATGGTTTGATTCCTAAGGTACCGTTTGGTACGTGGGACGGGACGGAACAGAGTGGGACAAGGCGTTCCGTCCCATGTTTGGTGTGCCTAAAATGGATGGAACGAGCTGTTCCACGGGATGAGTTTTGGGTGAATTTTCGTTTCGCCTCACCCTCCTGGAACGACTTGTTCCACATCAGTGGAACACAAAATTATAACCTCTCCGTCTCTTCTTCTTCCTCCTTGTTTCCATCCGAGGGCATCTTTATTCCAGCTTCGTTCCGTTCCGTCCTGTCCCGTTTGCATACCAAACGATACCTAATAGCTCATTTATCTCAGAGTCCAATTACCTCCTTTATCTCAGTAATTGAATTCCTGCTAAATCAGGAATCCGACTACTGATTTCGGGTGGGGTTCACTTATATATCATTCCCATAGTGTTAGTAAATATTGGAATGGCTTGGAATGTGTGCAATTCCATTTCCTCCGTTTTCATTCTGGTGGGGTTCTACCGTCTCTCCTTCTCCTTCCTTCGCCTACCTTTTCTCAGTCACCATCCTCCCTATGCCTTACGAGAACACCGTTCACACTGCTCTCCCTGTTTTGATTATTGGTAAACACTGATCTTTTTTTTTTTTTTTTTTTTTTTTTTTTGTCATGGAATTTTATTTCTTTTTTGTGGCTCTATATGTCGTTTCTTTCATTCTTCATTGTTGCAAACTTCTGTTTTGTTTGTTTGATCCATAATCGTTTTGAGCATTGTAATTTTGTTGAGTCCATATTTTTAAACGGCTTCTTAAGCTCCACCATTGCAAGTAACTATTGCTACTGTTATTTTTAAACTAGCCGACTATTGAATGTTAGTTGGAAGTCCAGTATTGTTGTAGACTGAATTTAAACATCCTCAATTGCTTTAGTTTGTTTTTTCTTTGAAAACCAAATTATTCTCACCTCCAATTTGCTTGCACTTGCAGAAAAACGACAATGGAGGAAGAAGGATAAGAGGACGACAGAAGAAGAAAGGTGAAGTTTAACGTTTGCTAGGTTTTAGGGTTTTTCCTTTTTTTATTTTTTATTTTTTTGTTTTTTGTTTTTTTTTTAATTGAATGAAAATTCATATCATTTTAAATGGTGTGGTTGTCTACCTAAGATGACATCTAATGGTACAATTGGATGATAAAAATAACATTTTTAATTTAATTTGTTAATAGAATACACGTGTTAAGTGATAAGTGAAAAAAGTAAAAAGGTAAAGGCAAATAAAGAAGATAATTAGCAGATAGATATATATATATATATACACACACACACATATATATATATATATTTTTAAGAGTGTCAATAACAACTCTCTATATATATATATTAATAATTAATTAATTAAATTGGATGTCGATGTCTTGGTCTAGAAGGATTTTTAGTTTTCGCATTTTGATTGCCCAATATACTTGGCGTTCTAGAGAGAGATAAGGAAAATCATGAATTGACAATAAGAGCACTATGATATGCATGCAATACAACATGATTTACATGAGAAGTTTGACTTTCTTTACCCTTAAATAATTGTTGTTTGAACTATTCTCGAATGCATTTTTTCGTGTTAAAAAATTGTTTAACAACATACTTGAACGTAACAATTTTTTGTTCTCTTTACATCTAAGTTCGAATATTACTCAATAAAAGACAATGCTTTTTGAACAAAAACAAAAAGTTATCTCTTTTAAGTCAGCTTACTAAAATATTGATATGTGAATCTCTCAAATTCTTATTTATGTCTCACAGAGACATTTCACCTTTCTCTTGGCCACCATTGAACGATTCATCAGCAGCAAGAATCAAACTCATGACTTGTCGTGTGGAATGCATACCTTTCCCAACCACTAGACCATCCCGTGATGATGTTGTTCATCTCTTTTCATAGGATTCTTAATTAAATATTATAAAGATCTCATTTATTTATGTTAATGTGTTTATTTTGGTGTTTTTACAATTCACTCTTGAACACAAAAATAAGTGATACAAAATGCATGTTAGAGGAAGATATTTTTCAGAATATAAGTCAAATTTATGTGGGCAGCGAAATTGGTTAGACATATTAATACAAACGCGACAACAAATGTCCAAGTGGCCATTTTTCTAATCGCATTCTGCATCGTACACTATCGACAAGACATCTTGGTAGTTGGAAATCTTGTTGTCCACCAGATGTTCTAATCAATGAAGCTTACCTTAAAACTGAGAGTAACCATCACGGGATGCCCATTTAATGATGATGAATTTTAGGTTTATATTTAACTTAATACGTTTTGGGTTCGATTTTTTGTCCTGATTAATCTCATGATGATGAGTCAGGAAGGCTAAAATACCTTTATAAGTTTTTCCGGCTCAGTAGACTGTCTTAACAAAACCAATTTGTCAATTTGCGTCGGTTCTAGAAGGAAAGCGGCAATGACGGCCGGCAGAGGCGATAAAAACCGGTACAAAATTATGGTAAAAAACCCAAAACCGTTGACGAATTAGCCCAAGCCCAAAATACCATGGGCCTAGTTAGGCCCAAACAGCTCTCAAGATTATTCATTTTTGACACAGTTGACTTAAAATCGGAAATCCATAATCTAATCCAACGGCTAGAATTCGAGGAGGCACAATCTGCCATCCAGAAGCCGCCAGGTTGGCATGAAAAACGATCTCCCGTCGGGAGATCTCAAGCCGCGTCAAAATTGCACCTCCCACTAAACAACAAATTCTCTGCACTCTTCCTCCTTCCCGTCAACGGAGATCTCTCGCCGGTGCTCGGATTGACTGGCCTTCGATCCGCCTCACTTCTTATATGTGAAGGTTAGTAGCGATCCCTACTCGTGTATTCGATCAGATTATATTGTGGATTTGTTGTTGTTTTTTGTTCGTTCGGATTGTTTGAATGGATGAATAAAATTTCAATTTTTTTGTTGAAATCGGTGAATTTGGCGTATGAAATTGCGATTTACGAGATCTTGGGGGTGTTTGAATCATTTAGTTTGAAACTCGAATTGTTTTGACTAAATCTATAAACTTTCATATGATCAGGAATCGCAAGAGAATTGATTCAAATTTCATAGAAATTTGTCATGATGGCGAATTTTTCCTACTTTTTAAAGCTAAATTGAGGTTTAGATTTCTGGGTTTTCAGAGATTTTCCATTTCTTGTTGTTTGATTGGAATTTTAATTACTAATTATCAATGGAGTATCTTCTATTTTTTTTTTTTTTAAAGTCCGGGTTTAATTCGGTGCAATTGGGGCTTGCCTGAAATGGTGATGTTTTTGTGTTGTAGACCTGTGGTTTAAGGAAATTTTGATGTTTTAGTGGCTGGTTTTGATACGAACGAACTAATTCGTTTAGGGTTGTCCAGGGATGGTAAGTGGGTTCGGGGAATCAATGAGCAGGTCGTCCCAAGGGCCTTCATTCTCCGGCAGCAACAATAACGGTGACGCTGGTGATTTCGAATGCAATATTTGCTTTGAATTGGCCCAAGACCCAATTGTGACCCTATGCGGCCATCTCTTCTGCTGGCCTTGCCTTTACAAGTGGCTCCACATTCACTCCCACTCTCAGGAATGCCCTGTTTGCAAAGCCCTTGTAAAGGAGGAGAATTTGGTTCCTTTATACGGTAGGGGAAAGACGTCAACTGACCCAAGATCAAAGTCCATTCCTGGCATTAGTATCCCAAACCGTCCAGCAGGACAAAGACCCGAAACAGCTCCTCCACCAGAACAGAACCATTTTCCTCTCCGTGGATTTGGGTTCATGGGAGGGATGGGAGGTTTGGGCGGGTTTGCACCAGTTGCAACCACAAGGTTTGGGAATTTCACATTTTCTGCGGCTATTGGTGGCTTTATCCCTTCTCTGTTCAATTTTCCGCTGAATGGGTTTCCTGATCCTGCCATTTATGGTGAAAGTGCTGGA